ACCATGATATAAAGATTACCACCTAGGCTTTTATTCCTTGAAGGACCAACCAAATCCATGTGAAGCGAGTTCCAAAGGTTTAGAAGTTGAAACAATATTTTTGTTTGAAAAAGATTTTCTAGTTTGTTTGCCTTTCAAACAAGCTTCACAGATTTTGTCTTTCAAGATGCTGAAGCTTAGGCGACCAGAAACTAATTCTTTTGAAATCGGTTTGTCAAGATGTTTAAGATGTATATGAGCAAGTCTTCTATGCCACAACCAAGATTCTTCTTCTTTAGTAAGAAGACAACTTTGAGATGACATAGACGGTTTGATATTTAACATGTATATATTGTTTAACCTCTTACCTACCAACATTACAGTGTCGGATTCGGCTCACAAATAAGGCACTTTTACGGTTTGAAAATGACTTTGTGACCAAGATCACATAAGCTGACTTATGCTTATCAGATTGTGCTTGAGACCTTCAACAAGAAGAACATTGTGAATGATTACTGATTCACCATCACCAATATCTCCGGAACCTAGAATTCTTCCTCTGTTGTTGTCTCCATAAGTCACATGACCTCCATTCTTCAATTTCGAGCTTACGGAATTTTGAATTGTCACTTGTCATGTGCCTTGAGCATCCGTTGTCTAGATACCAAAGGAACTCTTGTTGCTTGTTCCTGAAAGATCAAACATCAAGTATTTGGTACCCTTACGTATTTTGGGTCCTTAGGAGTCAATTTTTACGTTTAACATGTTTTGGAACCCATCTTTTCCTTCCTTGCGGCACAAAAAATTTTCTAGCATGACGAGAATTTTATAGTATGTCCTTTCTTCATGCAATAATGACAAGATGAGAAAGGGGATGCTTGTTGTTTTTCTGTATGAAAAGAAGTTCAAATATTTTTTAGTTTTTACCCCATTCTTAGGTTTGTACTCGATTCGAGAATGTTCAAACACACAATTTTGAGACCCAGAAGTGCATCTAAATTCTCTTTGCCTTGAGTAAATTTAGACAAAGTTTTAACCAAGTAATCAACCTTATCTTGCGAGAATAATACACTTTTCACACTTCTTATTAGCAGCAACATTATCAGCGAGATGCATAGATTATATCTAGATGTTCTAAATCTGTTTTGCTTTCTAATAGTTCATTTTCCAGAACTTTAACTCTATTTTCTAACCGGTTATTTAATCCTTTTAACCGATTATTTGTATGAGATAAATTTACGGCTTCACTATGCATTTCATTGAAAGCATTTAGTAATGTCTTGTAATTCATTTCATTCTCTGTAGGAGTTGAACTTACATGTGATGAAGAGGATTCACGACCGACCATCAAGCACGGGTTCACCTCCTCACTTTCGGATTCGAGTTGGAAGATGAATCATTGTCTTGCCAGGCTATATAAGCCTTTTTCCCTTTGTATCTTGAATCTTTCTTGTTCGATTCTTGATCTTTTCAGGACAATCACTCTTTATGTGACCACTGTTTACCACAAGAATAACAAGTAATATTATTTTGAACAGATTCAGTCTTTTTATCATTGTACCTTTTTACTTGGCCAAATCTGTTCTTTCTTCTAAGAAATTTTCCAAATTTCTTAACCAATAAAGTCGAGTTCTCTGATTCATCTTCTTCGAGATCCACTTGTTTTCTTCAATTGTCTTGAGAACAATATTTCTAGTTTTCTTTTCTGCATTCTCTTGTTCTTTGAACCAGATTGATTTCCAATTCATGTTCCCTCAACTTACCAAAAAGTGAAGCGGTAGTCATTTCGAGTCAAGTCTCTTGATTACGATATTCTTGTCACCTTTGGTTGCCATGTTACGTCCAAACACTTTAAAATTTTGATGTTCAACTCTTCTTTGTCAAAAGTCTTTCCTAACCCAATTAGATGATTGACTATGTGCGTGAACCTTTTACGCACATCTGCAATTGTTTCTCCTTGCTTGCATTTTAAACAACTCATAGTCCCTGATTAACTCATGCTTTCTTGCCCTTTTCACATCGAGACGTTCCTTCATGTGTAACCTCTAAAATTTCCCACATCTCTTTAGCGAGGCACCTTTGAGACACCACTGAAAAACTCATCAAGATTTAAAGCGAGAGGTAATAATATTTTTTGCGAGTATAATCATATTGGACTTTCCTATTTTCTACATCGGTTAATTCGACCCAATCTTTTTCGACTATTTTACCATCTACGGTATGAGTTGGTTTGTAAGGACCATTAACAATTGTTTCCCAAATGCCTCTATCAAGAGATTCAATAAAGATTTTCATTCTAACTTTCCGGAAAGAATAATTCACACCAGAAAAAAGTGGAGGCTCGTTTATGGAGGCTCCTTCTAAAAATTCATCTTTCCCTCGGCCATTGGACCGATTCCTTGAGTAACTTACAAGAACCAGCTCGATACCAATTGAAAGAATTAATGGTTGAGTTCAAGAGGGGGTGAATTGAACTTTAAAACTTTTTCGCAAAAACTTACTTTCTTTTGGAAGAATGAGTTATCTTTATTTAATCTTTGTGAAGGTAGTTTGGTTTAAACACAACAAGTTTATTGACGAGAAAATAAAAGAGATGAAAGAAGAATATTAACACACAAATTTATACTTGGTTCACTCTAATCCAGAGCTACATCCAGTTCTTGACAAACCGATCAAGTCTCACTAATACCAAGTGAAAATTTACAACCAGTAGATACTCACCAATCTACCTCAAGAACTATCTTGCAAACCCACAAGACAGAATCTTGAAAAACACCCGATAACCAAACCCGATTCTACAGTACCAAGTGCAGATTACAATCCAACCTGCACAAACAACTTTTACAAAAGAATATGGAAAGAAAAAACACTGGACTTGAAGTTTCTAATTGTCCAGAACCAATTCTATCAGCACTTTCTCTCTATGAATGACCACAATTCGATCACGACACCTTATGATATGAAAAAGATTCTTGAATGTAGAGAAAGTCACGTATGAAAGTTTCACAGATTGATTTCACAAGTTTTCTCAAGTAGTGTGTTGTATTGTATTTTCAAAAGATAGATCAAATCTGTATATATAGAGTAAATCAGAAAAAGCGAACGTTTCATCTGTTAAAAGCTGTTTTAGAGAGTCATAAAATAAGTTGGTTAGTAGTAAAACGAGGTTTAGAAAAGACTCGATCGATTAAAGCGAAGTATGATAGATTAGGCGAGTTATGATCGATCAGAATGAAATTATGATCGATTAGGCTGAGTTATGATCGATCAGAATAAAACTATGACCGATCAGAATGAGTTATGATCGATTAGAACAAAACTATGATCGATCGAGTATTATTTCAATCGATTAAAAGATCGGTTCAATCGATTGATTTCATTTAAAGTTCCATTTAATCGATTAAGACATCGATTCAATCGATTGATTTCATTTAAAGTTCTATTTAATCGATTGATTCGAGTTTTAATGGATTAAAACAACTTAATGAAAAATGACAACTCTCTGTTTCAATCGATTGAAAAACATTTTAACAGATTAAATTCCTGCAAACACTCGAGTATATAAAAAATAGTCTCTCTGTTTTAGCAGATTGAAAAATATTTCAACAGATTGATTTTCTAAAAACTCTTAGGCTGAAAAAGATCTTTCTGTTTCAACAGATTGAAAAATATTTCAACAGATTGATTTTCTAAAAACTCTTAGGCTGAAAAAGATCTTTCGTTTCAATGATTTAAAATCATTTCAACAAATTGAAAATGCGAAACTTGATATTGAAAATTCATTGAGTTATTTTAACTTGTTGATTACGCGAATCAATCAATTGAATTTTCGATTATGTATGACCATTTATTATGTTAAGTGATTTTAACAGATTGAAAATCCTTTTCAACAGATTAAAAAAAAACTTAGTTAATTCTTTTAATACTTAAACGTAAGTTTTTCATGCGAGAAAAATGATTTTCAATGAGATGCATCATTTTAAGGTGCTTATCACAAAATATAATGGCCTATCAAGAGATTAAGTGCTAAAACTTAAAAACCTAATCATCTACACACCCACAACCTAAGTTATATTTATGTCTTCATCAAATCCACCAAGTGCTTCAATCATATCCAACCCTCCTATGTGTCCACTCATCATCAACTGGCTGATCTCTTCACCAAATCTCTTGGCGCCACTAAATTTGGTTCTTTTTTAGGCAAGTTGGGCATTCATAACCTTCATACTCCATCTTGAGGGAGGGTGATAAACATAGAATATACGATTACAAATACCGTATCATGCCATGATTCTACATGATTAATTTTTTCTATATTTAGCTTGGCATGACAGCGATGCACAGTGATGCACATTAATGTCATATCTGTTAATAGACAAATTTAGGATACCGACTATAATGGTTAGCGTAATTATAGCCTAGAATGTTTCTGTATTTCATGTATATATTGTGCTATCATATTCAATACAAGACAAGGGTTTTTGGAAATATTTTTATGAAAAGAAGAAAACTGAAACTTCTCTACTAGTATTGAGGTGGTGATGGGCAACCAGAAGCACCGGGGTTAGAGTTGCATGATTATTACGACCATGTCACAACAAGTAGTAAAGCAGAACAAGTAAAGTGAAGGTGTGCCATGTTAGACAAAACATGTTGCCATATGTGTGGGTCATGACCCTCCAACCAAAAAACAACCAATGACTCTCTCCCTCATTTCTCATGAATCATACAAACACACACATGTTAATATTTTTCCCTCTGAAAAAACAGAAGGAATAAAGCTATAGCAAGCACAGGAACCAAGCTACACATAATATATATAAATTATCTTTTCATTCAACTCTTAAATTACGTGAATATAAGTTGTATATATAAATGAAACCGAGACTCTACTCCTAATCTCACAATAAAACTATTATAACCAAAAAAACTCTATAAAAGATGTTACATCACATCTCTTTCTTTGCACTTCCATCCCTTTCGTCATCTTGTTCCTTGCTTCCATACAAAACCCATTCTGTTTACACAGGGTAGATAGTGACTTCAGCTACATGCACTGCAAAAGTAGTAAGTACACTTATACGTAACATACATATTATATATATATATATATATATATATATATATATATAACACCAACATTTTGTTTCAGTCCTTTGGTTCTTCTAATAACATGTACGAGCATGTCTATATGTATACTACTTTTTTCAGTTGATTCAGTTAATAAGATGCATATAATTGCAGCAGAATGCGATACTGTGAACCTGAGTTTCAGAAAAAAAAAAAAAGCATTGTAGTGGTTTGTTTCTATCTTCATTTCCTATCAAACTAGATTTTGTGATGCTAATTTAAAGATTAACATAATTAGTACTCACTTAGAGAAAAAAAAGTTAGAGACAAATATAAAGCTATTTTAACTTTTTTATTTTCTTGTTAATAATATCATGTAAAGTTATATTTCAAGTCTATATTGTATATCTGTTTTAAAACTTAATACGTAACAATTTTAATAAAATACGTTTCGATGTAAGAAATTATGTGTATATAAAATATTCTTATGCTTAATTGTTATATGGGAATTATGAAATTATGAGATATACTTTAATAGAGAGTTAAGGATAGAAAAAAAAACGTGAGATTTTAATCTCAAACTAATATAATATTGTTAAAGTTCAAAGCTATACTTTAATCTATATTCTTTAAAGTGGTTTGAAGATTTTTTTCCCCCCACCCAAATCCACGTTCAATTGGATAAGGCTAAAGACTCGATTTGAGTCACATGTAGAAGTAGAACCCACACATGTCACACATGCATAATAGAAAAAAAGTTTCGGAACCAAGTAATACATACATGTGCCTTATAATACACCTATACATGTAAAATTTTATTAAAATACATCGAAACATATCTAATCATGAATCCTGTGTAACAAAAATATCCGTGAAATATATGACATGATTTCAATTATATTATAAATTATTTTTTAAATTAAAATATATTTATAAATAAATTAATAAAAAAATTTATATGATTTTATCACACTTTTTATTTGAAGAATTTTTTTATGTTTTAAACTTTGATATTGTTTGATATATGATATATCAAGAGTTTTTTTATGTTTAAGATTTTTGATGTTTGAAATTTTGTTCGTTTTAAAACTTAAAACTATTTTTTTTATCAATAGATTGAAAAAGAAAAAAAAACATTGATGTCTTACATGTTTCAAACATTATTAAAAAATTGGGTCTTTATATTTTAAAAAAAAGTTATTTTTATCTTTTTGATTTTTAATCTGATTCATTAAACCTCTTCCATTTTTTTTAATTTTCACTATTTAACAATAATATATACCGTATTAAAAATGAATAAATTTTTAACTTAATACTAAAAATTGGTTAAATAAAATAATTCATATATACATGTATTAATATTATCGTATTGTCAAAGTAAAATATGGATTAAATTGAAGAATAAAGCACTATTTTTCTATTAACCATAATCAAATACAGGGGTTGTATTTAAAGGAATTACATTACAATTTTAGTGAATAATAAAAAAGGTGTTGAAATTAAAGTGAGACACAACACATATAGAAAGAAAAGAAAGAAATGAAGAGGATGTTGGATTGGAAGGGTGGAGAAAGAGAAGATTGAATAGGTGTGGTGCTGCCACTTGATCAGTTCCATGCAGGGAATGTGCAGAACATGCTGTACATTTGATGCTGCCTCACTGTCCCCTCTTTCTCACATGCCCTATCTTCCTCAAAGACCAAGCAAGCAATTACCAGCCATTTTCCAACTCTCTCTCTGCTCATGTGCTAGCCATGTGCTCCCTTTCCCTCCCTCTAACCCAGCCTTGCTGGCCCATATCCCCTTCACATGCCCTCTTTAGGCCAAGCCACACCCCCCAACACAACACAACTAGCCTCACTTCACCACCCTCTTTTCTACACTCAAATGCCCCAAATGCCCTTTTCTTCTTTTTTCGGGACTTATTTAAAGACAAACACTTTCAAATAAACCCTTACCAAATTTGTCATATATGTAACTTTCTTAACAATGGAGGATTATACAACTCATAATTTTAAGAGATTTGGGAGCATACAATTCTATTTTCCCTTCATTTTTTTTTAAAGAATATGCTTTTTATGGAAGAGAAGCTCCATCTATGTTGCTGCAATTTGTGAATGATCCCATATAATCTTGTTTTATTATTATGGATCCTTTTCACCTTTTGTTTAAGAGTTTGTCCACTTTCGATAATGACAAATTAGTAGTATACAAGGTACAATGCTTGAAATATTTTATTGTCAAAAAGTACTACTCTTGATTTGTAGATTTAGGCCACCTTAATTCAACCCCTATTTTTGTAGTCTATATGACCTTTTTCCAATAGTCTAATCACAATATTATACTTAGGGATAGGGTTGTTTCATTTGTAAATATCACAATTCACAATAATTGCATTTTTTAAAATTTATATACAATTATTATATATATATATAGAGACTGTGCAATGAACCTAGATAAGTATCTTAAAATCCTTATCATAAAACTATTTGCAATAGTAGTTCTATCAAAGAACAAATTAATTGGCAAAAAAAAAAAAGGTGTATTTTCTAGAAATATGGTTTATCGTATATTCCCTTAAGAAGGACAAGAACAACTTTGATTTCGAGTTTCAGATTTGAGAGTCTTTCATGCTCAAAATCATGAATATATATATATATATATATATATATATATATATATATATATATATATATATATATATAAAAGCATTAGTAAAAGAAATTGAAAAAAGAAAGGACAAATAAAAAGCCACCACCACATGACAAGATACTTTGAGAGGTACAATGAATATTTTTGAACACAAAAAAAAAAATATGCCCACCAAAGTTTACCACTAAAATATGCTCTATCTCAACACACATTTTTATTTTTAATCCCCCACAAATTATGTTATTTTAATCCTTTTAATATTTAACAAATTTTACTAAATCAAATATTAATACATATATATTAGTGTAAGTTAATTATATTTTGAGTTTATTAAATATCATTAGCAAAAGACATAATATAATTTGTTAAAAATTGATCATGTAACTTTTCATTAATACATAAATTAATTTATAAAACACAACTTTTTTCTCTATATTTTTCCTAAAATATATGTTTGCAAAGAAATTATTATCTAAACATGTTTAATATATATATATTTTAAAATAAAATCAATAGATATTTGATAGAAAAAAAGAGTAATTTATATAATAGAAATGGAAAGGGTTAAATCCACAGTATCACCATAGGTGTTCCAAAAGGGAAATGAAACCTTGAACTTCGAGATTGATGGGAATAAAATGATTTTGGAGGCAAAGGATGTGGTGATAGAATGGGGAGGGCAAAATGGTAATTTGAGGAATAATGTGAAGTTCTCGGGACCTTCACATGTGCCCTTACAGAAGGGCAGGCTTTTCTGCCTCTCTGGCTCGCAAGTTGTGCCTCGCTTCTTCCCGCTTTCTCTTTTTTCATTTGGGGTCACATGCGAATTTACCAAAATACCCTTCTTTCATGGAAATATCCCATTCTTTATGTCCCTTGGTCCCACTCTTTTTTCTATGCTAACCATGCATGGGTTCACCAAAGGAGTGAAGATTTATTGCCCTGGACCTTCATTTCTTGGTTGGGACAACCAAAATATCTCTTAATACGTTTTTGTGAAATAAAAACTTTACTTATTTAATCTCTAAATTGAAACTTTTATAAATAGAATATATTTACCTTTATGAATAAATAACATTTGATAATATTTTTTAAAATCAATATTAAAAAAAATGATGCATCAACAAAAACTTGACACCTAATGTTTTTGGATCCTATCTTTTATTGGCACATGGTCAATTGACATATGATCTTTTTTTTTTTTAACCTAAATTTGATTATATTTTAAAAATAAAAAGAGTGGCATTTCTGTAGTAACCAACACCATCAAGTGGCAAACTCTTGAAGCCCCAGTACTTAAACCCAAACCTCCCTTCTCTGATCACCAAACTGTAACAAAAATAACACATCACAGAACCAAAGTTACCAAACCCACTTCCATTTTTTCCTTTCTTTTTCTTCGTCTTCTTCGGCCATGACCACAACCACAAGACACAGTTACAAACTTTCTCTCAAAAGAGCCACAAGGAGGAGAAGACAGCCACATAACCAAAAACTCATCACCACATTTGATTCCTTCAAGCATGAAAAGTGCCACAAAAAGTCCCAAAAACTGTCACAAAAGCTTGAGGCTTTGAAGAACCTCATTCCCACAACAAACTCTGAAGAAGAGGCTGTGAAACCCGACCAGCTGTTCAAGGAAACCGCAGATTACATCGTGTTGCTGCGGGCACGTGTGGTGGTGCTTCAGAAACTCATTGAGTATTATGACAACAGCAACAGTACCCAGGATGATGAACATGCTTTGTTGCTATAGTAGCTTCACTTTCACCCTCTCTTATTCTTTTGGGCTTCTTCTAAATGTTTTGTTTTGTCCTTTCATTAATGAGAATGAAAAAGAAAAGATCTTTGGTCTAATGGGGTTCTTTCTTTTTTGGGTTTATGATTTTTATTTTCATTAGATTTGGGTAGGGACTATGGTAGAAGAGAAATTCGAATCTGGAAATGGAGAAGGAAAGGTTGGGAATTTCAGAATTTGTAAAGGAAATCCAATGCATGTAATGTAACCATTTTTATTCTATATTTTTTTCTTTGGCATTTTTGACATTGGATGATGTTTCTTCCATCTTCCCTCATTGTCAAAAGCAAAATATATATATATATATATATATATATATATATATATATATATATATAATTTATAGGTATTTTGATTTAAAACAATCATGCTTGAGTGATATTGACCTATTAACATCAATAGCAGTTTATTGCAAATTTCATAAGCAGTTAAAGAAAGGAGTTTTGTTGTAAAAGGGGAATCTTAATCCACTTTTTCTTTGATTAAAACATTGATTACAGGTAGATTTAGTGTACCCATTTCTAAATAAACAACTTTCTTTTTTCAGAATACAGATTGAGCTTGAATTTGATGCTTACACTTGGTAGCTAGGGATTCTTATACAGTAATAGTTAAAACTCTGTTCATAAAAATTCATAAAACTACAATGTAGTTGTCTAAATACTTTTAATGAATTAGAATTATCATTTTCTTGATAATTTTGCATAGCCAAAATAACACGATCTTTCTAACAGTACAAAGTCAGGATAATTTGTTTACAAATCAAATCAAGCTAAACAATACCTACAAAACACTGTTAGAATATATATATATATATATATATATATATATATATATATATATATATATATATATACTCTCCAGGTCCCTCTCCTTTGTATCAATTGTTTACCACCTGACGACAAATATATGTCACACTTTCATTCAACTAAAAACATACTTTAGTTTCTTTTTAATCACATCCTAATCACAATAAATATATATATATATATATATATAAAAATATGTTATTATTATTATTATTATTAATAATAGTGTATGTACCTAGTGATGTTGATTTAAGAGGATGGTGCAGTGCATGGCACAAACAGAGTCACAGTGATGAGAGTCTCTCTCAGAGAAAAGGCAGAAAGCAAGCAGAACAGACACATTCACACTCACAGAGACAGTCACTGCAGGTAGCTATGTGTAGCTGCATCAATCTGCAAGGAATTATGGGGTGGCATGCGCTCATCATTCTCACTCTTCATTTCTCAGATAAATATCTGAGTGACATTGACAGCTACCTCAGAGGCTCTCATTCCTCACTCACTCACTTCATCTAATCAACAAAATTTATCAGATCATTCAAAACTGTTTATCTACCATTCCATGGTCTTAATCACTATTTTAATTCATCAGACGAAAATAATCATTTACTGCATTGTGGGGACACTTGTGCACACACTTTTCTGTGCTTGCATTGCTTACATCACAACCCTCTTCTCACTTTTGAAAAAAATTATTGTCTTAATACTGAAATTGAAGAGTGTATTCAAAAGAATACGGGTAGTGTCACTAAATCCAATACATGAAGATGGGGTGTGTGTGTGGTTGTCATGACCTTGACATGTGAGTCAATGAAGCCATGTGCAAAAGCCAAGATTCAAGGGTGGTTACTTGTTCCTCTGTGTGTGTGTAAAATTTCCCAGCCCACTAACAATTCTGGCTCAAAATCCCAACTAATTAAACCCAAAATGGTTTGCAAACATCATGTGGGTTATCTATTTTTCACAATCTACTTTGTCTTCTTGTGTGTGTGCATTTTCATTTGTAGCTATTGTTGTTTGGTTCACTGACACGCACACTGTTTGTTATAGGAAAGCTATTAAACAAATATTAACTATGTAGTGGTGTTTTGTCCAATCTTTTTTTATCCCTCTGAGAAATTTCTTTTGTCCTATGTGATGGACCAAAGACAAAAAAAAAAAAAAATCTTGTTTTGTTGAGCAATGTTGTTTTTGGAAGATAAACACTAGAGATAACTCAGTGCAGATCCAATGATCTGGGAGAAGAAGGGTAGTGTCCTACATAAGGGAATATGTATTTTATTTTATTTTCGTGAATTATTTTTACCTTGTTACTAATTAATGTTGGAAGATCACTTGTTGAATAAACAATTAAATAAAAATATATATGATATGTGATAGTTAAAGAACTTAACTATTTTAATAGGAGTACCCTCTCAATCACAATTTAAAATATTTGAATCAGATATTGTATTTAAGGAGATGAGTTCACCACCAATTTTTTATTATAATTAATATTAATTGAATAAAAAATAACTTAAATATCAAATACATACACATTGCTTAATTGAAAAATGGCTATTTTTTTATGAATTTTTTTAAACTTTTTATTAGGTTGTATTGTTCTTTCATGTTTAAAATTTCGTCAATAGCGTAGTAAGAGTTTTTTCTTCTTCTAAGGTTATTTCTTCTTCTAAGTATTACATTGATCTATTGGTTAAAAAATTACATTAGAGAAAAAAAATTCACATCCTTAATTTCAGTTTTTATGATTATGATTATTTTGTCATATTTTTATAATTTTTTAAAGATAATATAAAAATTAGATTTCTACTATTATAAATTAAAAAAAATGATTTTTTATAAAATTTAATAAATTTCAAAAAATAAAAATAATAAAATAATAAACTATCATACGTAAAACTCGTAAAGGTAATCCAACAATAACTATTTCCGACTATGAAATTTTATGCATAATTTTGAAAGAAAATATATATTTTTAATTGAAAAAAACCTAAAACAGTGCATTAAATTTTGTCCCGTTGATATTATGATTTGAGGGCCCTAATCTTTTAACGTATTCATGTACCTGTAAACTTTGTCAAGATGTATATGCAGCATGTGTAGAACTTTCGATTTTGTAACCATTCATGTTACATATGAAAGTGGTCCATTCATATAGGAAAATTTGCTCAAAATGCTAGCTTGCATTATTGTCCATGTTTTGTTGTCAAAAGAACGACACAAAATTTAAATTAATTAATTTTATGTAAGAAGAGTTTTCATCTTTATGTAATTCTTTTTATCAGATCAAAAGTGTAAAATTAAGTGCAGTAATTAATTTTAAAAAATGCTTTTTTAGAATGGATAGAAAAAAAAACTTATTTTAAAACTTTTTTTTACGTGACACATGATAATAAAGGGTGACCATAAAAATTGAAGATGATTTGATAATTATATGACACAATATGTATAATATAAATTGATTAAAATAAAAAAATTAAAGATATATTTTATTAGTTTTTATTTTTAATGTTTTAAAATTAAAAACAAATATTTTTTCAAAACAATATTAACAAAATAAGATCAAATACGTTTTTAGTTTTTAAAAACTAAAAATTAAAATAATATTTTTAAAGTTATGCCTTAACTAAGATGTATACATAAGTTTTCCAAAACATAAATTTGAGATATGCCTTCTATTATGCTCTAAACATTTTAGATTTCAATCACCATTTTCTTCCTTTTAGTTGTTTTTACTTTAAAAAATAAATGAAGTCCCTAGTTTTAAAGAAAAAAAATGTCTTTAATTTTAAATTTTGAACAACAAATTCATTAATATGATTAATGAGACATGCAAATTAAAAAAAAAAAATACAATTTTTATTTGTTTTATTCTGTTATAATGTTCTAATATATTAACTTAATTACATTTTTTTTGTTCTTTTAAAATATCATGCAACTTTAATCTTTCAAATTTTAATTAATTGTGTTAATTAGATCCAATAGATATTTTGCTTTGTACCTTGTTTCATTTATGTTTGAATTAACATTTCTGTTGTGACTGTTCATGAATCTTGACACATTTGAAGTCTTTTGCCATTGGATTAATAAAACACACAGAAGAACATGAAGGGTATCATTGATGCAAAAATGTTGGGATCTGACAACAGTCATAGAGATTATTGTTAGCCTCTTCAAAGGTGTGCAAGTGTTGAAGATGAGGTAAGGCCACATGCTGATGTTTTGTTTGGATGCAGAAAGAAAAAGAATGAAAAGTTTTTTTATTCTGCTAATTCTTTCAGCAATTTTTCTCTATTATTTTTTCTTCATTTGACAAATTTCATTTCTGTGAATTGATTGCACTCATATTCACCAGAACCAGACAAACAAAAGGGGGGTCATTGATTGATGATGAAAAGGCAGTGTTCTAGACAAGATGCATAGAAGGTGTTCCAACTTATTATGATGGGTGGGGATATGGTCAGAGGTCCCTGCTCACTAGGGTTTTAACTAGACAACTTGTGCATTGGAGTAGTAACTATCATCAGGGATTCTCATCTCAGCCCATACCTTTCCAGTTATTGTAGTGCAAAACTGAGAGAGACAAAGAAACACAATAAATGTAAGTTGAAATATTATATTCTCTTCCCGTCGTGGGATGAAAGTCTCGGTGTCACGTTGGCTTTGATTTCATCGTTTTAATCCATTTTTATTGTACGTTGTTTTAGAACTTTTATCCGTCACTATTTTATTCTTAAAAGATATATCAGTGCATATATCAGTGAATTTAAGAGAGAAGAGTATATATAAGAATCTTAATATACCACATCGGAACATAAGAAGTACGGGTAAATTCTACTCTCAATACGACCAACACTAAATATTCTTACCACGTTCCTAAAAGTTGACAAAAAAACTGAGGTTAGACACTCATGAACGTTGCGGAAGACCTTCCATTATTCACTCGTAACTTTCATTAATTTCTCCCACCAAAACATTCACAAGTGTGGTTACAACATCTTCAAACCCGTACCACTCTAGGAACACAACCTACAACGTAGAAGGGGAATAGACCTGACCATGCATGAGAAGAAAAAGTGAAACACACCGGAGGCCAGGGGGAATGATAGCTTAGTTCATATACTGATGTTTTGAATCTGCATAACT